ATTTTCAAATTTGGTAAAAAGAGCCGGAAATCTGAATGGTTTGGCCAGGATCACTCGCAACGTTTTAACGTGCTATCCTCCAATAATGCAATAAACAATAAAAAATGCAAATTATTCAACAAGTCACTGCCTGTCTCTCGCTCTCACTAATATAAACAACTCCGCATGATTGGTGTTGCTGAGCGTGGAAGTTCGTTATAAACGGAAAGTGAATATACAACTATCCTAAAAAGTGATCGTTATATTCGGAAGTTCGTTATAAWCSGGTTCGTTATAACCAGTAAAAAAATACGTTGGTTTTTATTCGTTTCAATTAAAGGGAAAAAGTTCGTTTTAACCGAAAGTTCACTATAACCGGGTTCACTATAAGCGGACTTTACTGTATGTATTACGACAAAACAGTAAACTTTTGCAACGAACGCCAGAACGACGGCAGATTCAACAAATAATTAAAAAGCAAAAAAGCTTCCAAAATGAGCAAAGAAATATGTTTTTTTAAATTAGATTTGAGTGGCGCCTCCCAAAAAACTCGCCTTTTTTTTAACCTGAAAAAAAGGCGAGTCGACTAAACGTTGGTAAACGTTTATCAGTTTTTCAAAAATTCGCCAATGAAAATCCAAAAATTCCTGATCGCTGCCCATAACATCGCTCGAAAGAGAAAATCGGCTGCTTTGGGCGGAAAAACTTACTGATCAGGAAATTTCTGGGCGTTTCCAGTACGGTTGCCAAATCTCCGGTTTGTGACCGGAGTATTAGGTTTTCCTTCATAAGCTCAGGTCATAAATATTTTGTCAACCGGATTAGGATTTCTCCGAATAAAAAGCTATTTTTTTAGTGGTGAATGAGAAAGCAAATAAAGATGCATTGTGAGTAATTACGAACTAATCGACAATTATCGATCGTCGGTTAATAATATAACATCCTTTATTTTTGGCCTCGGGTGTCGGGTCAGAGGATAATCTTCGTAACGTCCTATTTCGTCAGTCAATTACGGTAAATATAATTCTGTTTTCGTACATTTGAAAAACAAT